GAGCTTGGGGTACCTTTGGTGGCGGACAAAACAGAGGGTCCAGTTTTGACCATAAGCTATTTTGGGTATTGAATTGGACACAATTGCACAGACATCCCGCCTACCAAGGGAAGAGGCTATCAGCACTTAAGAAATTAATTCTGTAACTTCTTCCCCTCAAGAAGGTCACCCTTCACGCTTCGATCACCTCAACTTTGCATGCTGGGTAGTGTTCCCTGTCCGCCCCTTTTGTGGGCGATTGGCTAAGCTGTCAGCGGGACTGTGTGCTCTGCAACACTGAGTGCGCCTCTCTAAAGTGGTCAAGTCGGACCTGAAGGTTGGGTTAAAGTTCCTAGAAAAGTACAATGGCATTTGCGGGCTGACGAGTTCAGGAATCACCAGGTATGCTTCTGGACCGACAATCAAACGGTTGTCAGTGTCCTGTCAAAGCAATTATCGCACTCTCCTAGAGTGGCAAATCTGCCCCCGACCTTTGTCCTTTTTGTGCTTAGAATTAAACATCTATTTCTCTGCCAAATTTACTCCTAGGGTTAACAATGACATCACAGATGCCCAGGCGCAGCAAATTGCCACAGCCATTCCGGGAGCACCTTTGGAGCCTTGGGAACGTGTTGTCCTGAAGGGAGTATTAGCTTCAGGAGCCCCGTCCACGCTTAGATCTTATAAAAAGGCTTGGTTGGACTTTATGGAGTTTTCAAGGCAAAATTTATAAAAATAAAATAATAATAATAATAATAACAACAACAACTAGGCTTGACACACCCAAAGCAAATTGAAAATCCTAGGCAGGACACACCTCCTACCAAGGCTGAAGCTCTGCAATACTTGGTACATTGGAGGGTGCTGGGTCGTGCAGAAAAGACTCTTAAACATCCAGTAGGCGGCAATCTCCTTTTTCTGTAAGGTTGTTTAATCCATAGACCCTGGTGTGGACTTCTTAGTGTGAAGGGCACTGTAGGGCTGGCGCAGGCTGCAGCCTCCTAAGAGTGATAGTAGAAGGCCCTTAACTTATGACATTCTATGCCAATCCATAAATAAATAAATAAATAAATAAATATATAAACAAACAAACAAACAAATAGAAATAAAATAAATTAAGAAGTATCTGTTGGTCCGAGGACAAGGCCCAGTTATTTTCAGCTGCATAGTCCATTGCCTTTGGCGCTATGCGCATTGGCAAAGTGGTTTGTAAGGGCCAACCAGATTCCACTGCCCGGGGTAGTTTGAGAAACCTGATCTTGTTCAGATCCAATTTAGTCCTGCATGTCCAATGTTCCAAAACCGATCAGCAGTAAAGGACACTAAACATTTGCCGCCGCCACAGCAGTGCATTTGGGACTCTCGGCTGAAAGGATGAAGGACTTAGGGGCAGTGGAAGTCTGATGCATTTAAGGGATATATTCGTAAGACCTTGTGATTGTTCACAGTATACTTGACCTGGCTTCTTTTGCTTTCAGGTGATGTTGTGGTGCACATTTGGATTATAGGCCCTGCACTGTCCACTGGGATAGAAACCATGCCGTTAACAGGGACCTAGGGTGCAGGAGCTATGAAGGCGCACATCTGGATAATCGGGCACAGCATTGTGCATTGGGCCAGGGTCCGCGCCATCAATTCCGGTCTCGGGCCACACCTTAACTACATCAATATATCTTGGATCTCTAGGAGGGGAATGTGCTGGGCCGAAATGTTGCCCGCAATTAGGGCCAGAGCGGCAGCGGAGGGCCCCCCAGATGCTTTAGTTATCCAATTAGGTGAAAAGGATTTAGCTTACAGAAAGGCAGTCGACTTGATTGGCATATCCTTAGTGACTTTGAGGAACTTAAGGCCTCTTATCCAAACATCACCATTCTTTGGGCCTTGTTGATGGAAAGGCAGGTTTGGAGAGATAGGAAGTGCCCGATAGCCATAAATAGGGCTAGGAAAGCCTTGGATCGGGCGGTGGTGCGTAGAGTGGCAGCCCTGGGTGGGTGGGTCATTGACCACCTGGGCAACTGCGAGGCCCTCTACTGGCTTGATGGCGTGCATCTTTTGGATGCGGGAAATGATATTTGGCTTGATGGCGTGCATCTTTCAGATGCGGGAAATGACATGTGGCTGACTGATATAGCAAAGGGGATAAGGGATTGGTTTCAGGCATGAGAGTATTGGCGGCGAGCGATTGCTCGATTGCTCGTATTTATCCTGGTGGGGGGCGGGAACTCGCCACTCAAAGCCACTTTCAGCCTGCCCAGGAGGTGGGGTTGCGGGCTTCACGCCCACCCCCATGTGAGCGGGGGCTGGTTTCAGCCCCCGCGAGAGCAGGGGAATCCCGGCCGCATTTTCCTGCCCTATTTAGGGCCGGCACAGAGGGGGCTCGCCCTCTTTTCGCCGGCTAGCCCCCATGTTTTCCCACCCTCTCTCCCTTTAGGTAGGCTTTAGGTAGGTCTCTGACTTTGCTATGGACTTCGGTCTGTCGCCGCAAGGGGCATGGTAGGAATTTTTCCCAATTGGCAATTTACAGCCATTTGGTTTCTCGCCTACCTCGTAGCAACTCGTCACAACTTCTCGGCATTGGCGGTTAGGCATTGGTAAGAAGGGGTTAAGAGGATGTGGGGGGGAGGAACGCCATCACCTCCCCCCAGTGAACGAAGGGTGGTCCGATAAAGGACTCCGGGGGGCGTGGCCCTGTCCGAAGCCTATGGAGGTGTGGGCCAAGGCACGCCCCCGAGCGGTGACCTGGGGGAGCTCCTAGTTGACGTGCCTCAGCAGGAGACTCCCCCACTATGGTGTTAACCCTTCCCATGTCTCCAGCAAATGGGCCGGAGCCGGATAGTCGTTAGGACCAATGCCTGAGGCCAATGCCTCTCATTCCTGAATTCAATAAAGTTGTGGCCTAATTCACCCATTTAACCTTAAATTATGGTGTCTTGTGTCTTTATTTATCCTGGTGGGGGGGCGGGAACTCGCCACACAAGTCCTTACCCCCTCTTCATTTGTTTAGGAATGGGGTTACGAAGCTCCTCTGTGTGACCCAGCCTGATGGGTCTGCAGCAGAACAAAGGTTTTGAATGAGTGGCCTAAATCCACCTACTCAACAAATTGAAACACAATGGCTTGATCAGAGTATGTCAAAAATGTGCTATTTGTCTGCAGCTATCATAGCTGCAGGAGGGTAACCCAACAGGCTCTCGTTTTCCTTGGCAAGCCTCAACAATTTCCCAATCATTTGCCTGGTTCTATTTTCTCCCCATGAAGAATTTACCAGCCATCCCCAGTGATTGGCTCCCCAGTGGTTACAAGGAAATTTTTCATTCCCTGTGGAAGGTTCAGCATTGGCCAGTTGGGATAGTTTCCCTCCCTATCACTTCACTAAGCAATTGCAAAATCTCTGGTGTAAGACAGAAAAGTCCCAGGGTCAGAATTACAGAGGATTTGGGTGTTTTTACTTTCAGGAGAAGCACTCCTGGGTTTTTCATCAGCTTCTGTCCTGCCACCCAAATTGTGCCTGCTGTGAAGTAAGGAGGTGGATTTGCAAGGTCAGCAGAGGTGAACATTATCTGTGGGTTGTCCAAGGGAAATGAAAAGGAAGTAAATAAGATTAGCAAAATCTGTCAGGGCTTCTTTCAATTCCATTGCAATATTCCTGAAACAATAAAATGGGTAGAAGCTGGAGATGGAAGAGAAATCTGATTTGGTTTGCATTAAAGCTGAATCTATCAAATTTACACTTTCCAAAACAATCTGAGAACTGCAGTGCAGCTACCTTTGGAAATTTTCACTTATCTGAATTTTGCAACCAATCAGTGCTTCCAAAAACTGCATACGTTAGAGGAGAGGGTACATAAAAATGAATGTATTGTGAAAATAACCTACAAAATGCATTATATGAGAAATGGCTTGCAAAAATGTGCACATTAGTCATACCTGCATAGAAACATGTAAGGATAAATTTGCTCTAAAATTCTGCTTAATTTCCATGAGCATATTATTATTATTATTATTATTATTATATCTTAATCTTTTAAATTGTATTTTAATCTTGTTTTTATTATTGGTCATTAGCCGCCCTGAGCCCGGTCTTGGCTGGGGAGGGCAGGGTATAAATAAAAATTTATTATTCTTATTTATTTTTATTATTAAACTAGTATTGAATTTTGGGGAATAGAATTTAAGATAGGATTTAAGAAAGAAACTAAGACAACCTATATTTCTTCCAAACCTAGTAAGAGGTGGTTGAATATAGTTTGATGATACACACATTCATGCACATCCACTCAGAGCTAAGGAAGTACAGCTTAGCTCTATTGCAGGAATAGGGGGTCCCTTTTTAGTCAAAGGGTCACATTCCTTCATGGGAGACCTTCTGGGAGCAACATACTAGTGGTGGACTGGGCCAGAGGAAAACAATGGGTGGGGCAAAGGAAGTTACTCTTACCATTATATAAGTAGCCCAAATTGCATCCTTCCAAAAGACAGGTTTCTACACTACTCCATTCAGGCAAGCAAGAGGCATTACCATATCTCAAAGACATAGGTCCGAGATAGGGGACCTACTTAAGGACTCGATATGGGCTCTTGGATACCCCATAAGGGGAAAGGAGCAGTTTTTTACCTTATAACATCTATATCTATATCTATCTAATCTATATCTATATCTATCTCCTCATGTTGTGTTGTGCCCCACCCCCACACATCTGATGATGGCCAGCTATCTTACTGGTCATAGGGCAGGCTCAATAGCATGTACAGTGGTACCTCTGGTTGCGAACGGGATCCATTCCGGAGCCCCGTTCACAACATGAAAGGAACACAACCCACATCTGCGTACGTGCGGGTTGCGATTTGCCACTTCTGTGCATGCGCATGACGTTATTTTGCACGTCTGTGCATGCGCGAGTGGAGAAACCCAGAAGTAACCCTTTCTGGTACTTCAGGGTCACCGCGGGACGCAACCCAGAAAGACATAACCTGAAGCTAACGTAACAAGAGGCATGACTGTACAGCTTTATTCTCCAACACCTCACCACCACTGGCACATCTGCCTCCATAAGCTCTTCTTCATGGCACAAATATATACTCCCAATCTCATTTCATCTTGATTGGACACCTTTCCAGGCATGATTTTTTGTTCCTCCATTCTTTTGACATTTTCCCTCCTGCTCATTTCGGCCTTATTTCCAGCTTGTTAACATTCTTTGCACTGAAGAGGGGTTTCAGAACTTAAGAAAAACGGAGCTTACTTCCAGGGTTGAATAGAGAGCTTCCTCCAGCCTCATGTTTGGTGTTCATGAGCCCTCTGGCTATGTAAGGAATTAAAACCCTTTTACAACTCTGCTTTTTTTCCCTTCACCAAACTCATGCCTAACAATAGCCTTGCTGCAACTTCTCTTTTGAGATGAATTGGACAATTGCCTCCATAATTGAACACTTTCCATCTTATTTCTCCCCCGTAAAGCAGCAAGGACCAGGGACTCTCCATCCAATGACAAACAAGGGGAAATAGAACCACAGATGGACCCCCCAATCAGCAGAGCAAATGAACAGGAAAAAAATGTGCGCTCTGCTGGAAAATGAAATTACTGATTTTGTGTAATTAGTCCTTAATTATTTATCATTATTGTGCCTAATTACCGCCACTCACAAGCTAACAGGTTATAAAACTCCTGGGCTGTGTTTATTAAATGTTAAGGGATCATTAGCAAGTTAGTGTCATTGCCGGAACACTAATGAAATATCTGCGAAAATGCGGATGGCCAGAGGCAAGTTGCACAGTAGGATCCGGTACCAGAGAAAGCGGATGGGATCTTAAGACAACTTTTAACTACTGGTATGGTTTGTGGACTGCCAAGAACTTGCAGAAGGAGAGCAGAGCCAGCCCAATGAATTTTTTCTGCCTGAAGCAAACACTGGAACCTGCCTAAGACCAAATGAGAACATTGGTCCATCTAGCTCCATGTTGTGTACACTGGCGGCAACAGCTATCTGAGGTTTCTGACAAGGGGCATTGCCAGTCCTACCTGGAAATGCCAGGTATTGAGCTGAGACCTTATTCATGCAAATTCTGTTGGTTGCAAGGAACAAAATAAGTATAAAAAAGAGAATTCATGGATGCCAAGATCCACGTTTGGTGCAAATGCTCTTTGGTGAGAGAACCCCAGCAGAGATTTTAAATCAGAAAATATGCAACAAAGTAATGCATGAAAATATAGGCCGTTAGACCTTTAAGATATACCCTTGTGGGTTCTAAAACTTCCTTCTTCTCTTATAGAAAAAGACCACGCGTTTGGTAAACTAACATTGTTTTACTTACAAACTCTCCAAAGGTCAGTTTCATGTGTCTTTCTATACAGCATTCAGAAACAGTTGCACATGCAGTAAAACATGGATTGGTTACAGTGGTAAAAGTTCCTAAATTATTGGTATAGGAACTCAAGAGTGGCTTATAAGAGCCACGCAGTCTGAGCTGCAGCAACCAGCTCAGACCTCCTCAAACATAACTTGCTCTATAGTCTTAACCCCTTCATGCATTAATTAGACTTAAGCATGTTGGTTATATGACGCTGGTTATTCTACAAAGTTGGTGCTCTGCTACAGAGCTACACCCTTCTGTCAGGCTCCCACCCTAAAACATAACATGGACTCTTTTTTTCATTTAAGGAAGGAAGATATATTTATTCAGACTAATTGCAGTACATGCTCAGCAGCAAGTACAAGGTCTGGAAGTCAAGATTTCAAAGTACATTAGCAAAGTAAGAGATTCATAACCAGATGGAAGCTATGAAGATGCCCCTCCTGCCAAGCTTTTAAAGACAAGGTGGGGTGAACTCATGGGACTCTCTTGTCCTATAAGTCTTCTGTGAGTACACTTCATCTTGCCAGATGCATCTGATCACACCTACTAAGACAGTGCCTGGTTCTCAGTGACATGACTGTACTGTCCCTTTGCCTCCAGCATTGCCACTGCCACCTCCTGTTCAGCTCCTCCACCCTCCCTGATAAGTCCTCCACCCTGATAAGGTTTTGTGTTCTGCCAGAGGGGTGGAGTGGAGAGCCAGATTGCTCTGACACAAGGAGAGGGCCTCTCTCCTCCATCCTTGGATGCCAGCCTCCCACTACCACACCATCTGCTCCTTCTTCCTTCTCTTCCTAGTCTGTCTGGGGTTGCCAGACCATGCTAAATCCTGATGGAGCCTAGGGACCTTCCCTAAAAGAATATAGGAAGCTAATTGATATAACTGGTTCAACTAGCTCAGTATTCTCTATACTGAATGGCAGCAGCACTCCAAGGGTTTTAAAAGGAGGGGGCATTTCCAGCCTTGCTTGAAGGTGCTATGGATTGAACCTGAGATCTTCTACATGCAAAGCAGATGCTCTACCACTAAGCTACAGCCATTCCCTGGCAAATGACAAGATGCTACCCCTTTTCACATAAAGAAGATTGGTAGTTGAACCTACTTCAGCATTGTGTTGAGACATCATTTCCCACCATACCTGAGGGTAGCAGACAAGCTTGGGGAGTGTAGGCCAGGCCACATGGCTCACACAGCTTTGTCTTCTCATGCCTTGTCACCACTCTGCCTGGTGCTAGCTCACAACGGCTGCAGGAGCTGAGACGTTGGTGTGCATGATGTGAGCAGAGAAAAACATGGTTGCATGTGCAATCCCTTCTAGACTAAATGTAGGAAATGCTCCCATATGATAACTGAAAATAACGCAGTGTGATGCCACTCACGTCACGTTCAACCACAGGCATGCTGAAATGGTTGTTTCCATTCCGCAAGTCGATAGAAACTCCTCTGAGTAACGTGGTTCAGTACTGCCTATACTCTTCTCATACTGTCCTGAATAAAAGAAAACTAGAATATCCTCTAAGGCAGAGCCATAACTATGGGGGGCTAGCTGGGTTTTTGGTCCTGGGTGAAGCCTCCAGAGGTGCACCCATGAGAAGTGCTGCTGGTCTCCTCCCACCCCTTGGGAGGAAATGGCAGGGGCTGCCCTTAGGGGTCCCCTGGGGTCTGTAGGACCCCAACATTTTTTATTTTATTTTTTAGTTTAGAGGAAATGCAAGTAAGCGGCATCCTTATAGAAGTGTATGGAGTGAGTGTATAGAGAAATCATTTTCTCCTTCCAAAACACTAGAATTAATGGAAAACCATGGATTTTGGAAGATTCAGAAGAGAAAAAAGAAAGTACTTCCTCACACAGAACACCGTTAAACTACGAAATTCACTCCAGTGACAGCCACTGGCTTGGGTAGCTTTAGGAGAGGATAAGGCTATCAATGCCTGCTAGCCACAATGGCTACATTCTACCTCTGCTATCAGAAGCAATACACCTCTGACTACCTTTGCTGGAAATTAAAAGTAGGGAGAATGCTGTTGCACTAGGGTCCTTCTTGTGGGCTTCCCATTGTGGCATCTGGGTGACCACTGTGAGAACAGGATTCTAGATCGGATGTGCCTATGGCCTGGCTCAGCCTCTGGGCTCTTCTTTTGTTCGTATGATAAGGGATTACTTCTTTATGGGGTTTTTTCCCTTCTAAAATGAAATGCTGTTTCTGGAGCATAAAGTTACTCTGCCCTCTGCTGTTGTGTGTCATCTGGGATCCCAGTGACACCATCTGCTGATTTTGGAAGAGCCCAAGGCAGTTAGATCTTGTCCTGGAAATCTTCTTCAAGTCATTTGCTCCCTGGGCATGGATGGAAGCGGATGCCAAGGGATTTGGTTGCTGGTGCCAAAGATACACCTCTGTTCCATCCACCAGCTGCCACTTCCTAAATTATGAATAGATGGATATTTCATCTGAGCATTAAAGGGCTATGAAAATGTCATCTCTGTGTGTGTGTATGGATAAACCCATCACTTCCGGGGGAGGGAATCTTTAAATGAGTCAACAGGGAAAGCCATATTTGATTCAGCCAGAGAATGTGATGGCAGATGAACAGGTACATCCCCCCCCCCCCCGGTGTTCTGCTTCGGGAATGATAGGGATGATGTGCAGATGAGGCAATGTGGGGTGGCGGGGAGAGCTCATTAGGGAAAATACCATTGGAAGGAAATAGAAACTCTTGTTCAGCCATATATAACTCTCCCCTTGATATATAGTCTGGAAAAGCAAAGGGAGAATGATTGTCTGGAAAAGCAAAGGGGGAATGAGGCCACAAATTTCAAGGAATTCGTGAGTCCAACTCCACTCATAAAAATATAAGTTCAGGGTGACTCCATCAAGCCCCCTCCTCGGAGGATTCTGCCATCAAGTCAGCTCTCTGAGTGGCAGGAGCTGCCCTGCCCTCGTGGCATTATCACCTGTTATACTCCTGGATCAGACCTGGGGGAAGTGTGCTTCAGAGTTTTGACAAAGTTCACCATGATATTCTTGTGCAGAAACTGGTGAAATGTGTGCTGGATGAGGTAACTGTTAGGTGGATTTGTAGCTGGTTGACTGACTGAACCCAAAGAGTGCTCACTAATGGTTCCTCATTATTCTGAAAAAATGTAATATGGGGTTCTGTCTTGGCCTGTTGTTGTTCAACCGCTTTCTAAAGGTGCTGGACTCTCCTTCCTTGGAGGTTTTTAAACAGAGGTTGGATGGCCATCTGTCATGGATGCTTTAGCTGAGATTCCTGCACTGCAGGGGGTTGAAATAGATGACCCTTGGGGCCCATCCAACTCTATAACTTGAATGAAGTAATTGAGAAGATGCTCATCCAGATGACAGCAAATTTGGAGAGGAAGAAGACAGAATCAGGATTCAAGATGACTGTAACAGATTGGAGAACTGGGTATAAACCAACAAAATGAATTTAAATAGGGACAAATGTAAGGTTCTACACTTAGGCAGGAATAACTACCTGTACAAATTTAAGATGGAGGACACTTGGCTTGTCAGCAGTACTTGTGAAAAGGATCTAGTGCTCCGGCAATGACACAAGAAGAGGAAGAAGAGAAGAAGAGTTTGGATTTGATATCCCGCCTTTCACTCCCTTTAAGGAGTCTCAAAGCAGCTAACATTCTCCTTTCCCTTCCGCCCCCACAACAAACACTCTGTGAGGTGAGTGGGGCTGAGAGACTTCAGAGAAGTGTGACTAGCCCAAGGTCACCCAGCAGCTGCATGTGGAGGAGTGGGGATGGGAACCTGGTTCACCAGATTACGAGTCCACCGCTCTTAACCACTACACCACACTGGCTCTCACAAGCTTAACATGAGTCAACAGTGTGATGCAGCAGCAAAAAAAGCTAATGCTATTCTAGGCTGCATCAACAGAAGTTTTGTTTCCTGGTCAAAGGAAGTCATAGTACTACTCTATTCTGCCTTTATCAGATCACATCTGGAGTACTGTGTCCAGTACTGGGTGCCACAATTTAAGAAAGATGTTGACAAGCTGGAACATGTTCAGAGGAGGGCGACCAAAATGAACAAGGGTCTGGAAACCAAGCCTTATGAGGAACAGATGAGTTGGGCCTGGGGGAAAAGGAGACTTAGTAGAGATATAATAGCTGTCTTCAGATATCTAAAGGACTGCCCCATGGAAGATGAACCAAGCTTGTTTTCTCCTGCTCTAGAAGGTAGGACCAATGGCATCAAGTGACAAGATTCCATCTAAACATCAGGAATATCTCTCTGATGGTAAGACCTGTTCAACTGTAGAATGGTCTCCCTTGGAAGCTGGTGAACTTTCCTTCCTTGGAGGGTTTGTAGAGACTGAATGGTCAGCTGCTATGGATGCTTTTGTTGAGATTCCTGCATAGCAGTGGGTTGGACTAGATGACCCTTGGGTTCCCTTGCACCTCTACAATTCTTTGATTCTGTGATGGCAGGGATTGCTCTTTATCAAGCACTGAAATGCCACTGACATAATCTGTAACTTTAAAATCTGCAATTTTATGAACTTGAGCTTAAGCAGGCTTTCCCCTTCTCCCTCCCGTTCCTTTTTCCTTATGTGTCATATTGTTTTAGGGCAGTTAGGGCAGGGACTCCTTAGTTCTAATTTTTGTAAGCCACTCTGAGAGTCTTTTTGTCTAAAGTCTGGGGTATAAATAAACACCTCCCTAGGCTAGAAAATGGAGCATGTTTTGGCCAAAACAGAGCCACTGATCCCATGAAGCATTAGGAGACAGGAGGCAGTTTATTAAGAGGCAGGAGGCAGTCTAAATGCCAAAGAGGATGTACATTTTGGCAGCTGCTGTGTGACTTGCCTGCCAGCAAGCAAATTTGCAGGGGGTTCTACTCTGTAATCCAAAATAGCTCCCTTTGCACATGTTATGCATAATGTGCACTCTCTCACTTTGCTAGTTTCCTGATCTTATGGCAGGTTTCATGTACTTTAGAGTTTAGCACAGCCTGCTTGTGTTCAAGTACTGACTGCTGGGTTTAATTTGGACCCAGTTTGGATGAACTGGTGCAACTGGTACAAAAGGCCTCCATTTCAGTTTGTTCCTTGTGGGAGAAACATCAGAACCTTGATTCCAGTCTGAACTGCACCTTGTCCTATACCTCAATTGAGCATTGCCACACTGCAAAGTAGAGTAAATTCTCCTGATTTGAAGAGGCCATTTGCACACATCGGTCATGACTGGACCTAATGGTCAGGGGTCCCTTTACCTTTACCTTTATAACTGAAACTTAGCTAGCTAGCTAGCTAGCTAGCTAGCTATCATCTATCATTTCTCTATCTCTCTTAAGTTGTGGGTGAACATATCAGACGACACAGCGATTCTCCAAACAGCTCTTGTTTATTCACAGGTCAGAACAGAACTGAACTGAAGGGTTCAGCCAGCCTGCTTATATAGAGCTTACCTACAAAGCAACAGTGACAACTTTCTGTAACTATCCAATCACTGAACATCACTTTCAATTCCTTATTTGCATATGTGGACCTGAGTGAAAACTACCTACAGTATCCCCCCTGCTGGCCCAGGGTGAGAACTTCAGTACATAACAATCTCTCTATCCTAATGTTTTTGAGACAAATGGATGTGCATGTGCATCTGTATTAAGACACCTAGTAAAGTTATTTTGAAAGGGTTCCTTAACAAAAAAGAAGAAGATGCAGAATGAAGGAATGGAAATGGAATCATGTGTAACAGCCAAGGTGGTTGTTATTGGGCTGCTAGAGTATCAGACTAGAAGCAGGAAGACCCACATTCAAACCCCACTTGGCCACAAAATTTATAACTTCAGGTCAGTTACTGTCTCTCAGACTAATTTAACTCACAAGGCTAAGAAGAAACAGGGAAGAAGAAGCGACCTTATTGAGTACACTAGGCTAGTTTCAATGAGTATGAACTTCTGCCTACCTTCTTTTTCTTTTCTAGCATCCGAGTAAATTGAGGAGTGAAGGTTAAAAAGTAAAATGAATAACTTTCATGTCCAATTTCAATAGTGCTGGGCATGGCTCAGCTTATGGGAGATGGGAAATTATGCTATTAAATCCCGCTTACTCAAACACTTCCTTCCTTCCTTCCTTCCTTCCTTCCTTCCTTCCTTCCCTTCCCTTCCCTTCCCTT